TATGAGCAGAAAATCAATAAGCCTCATTAAAAATCCCTTTCAGAAAGAGAAAATCAAGTACCCGTATTTGGAGCAACATGAAGTAGCGCATCATAGATATATGAGAAAAATTCATATTAGCTCTACACACTTTGCAAAACAAATCGGGTCTTAAAGAAGTCTTAAAAATGCAAGTATTAGCCACGTCCATTAAATTATACTAACCAAGGATCGCAGATCAAATAATGTATTGTAAGGATATGCAAAACTTGGAATGTGCGTAAGAAAGAAGAAATCATGCATTTAATTACATATATATATATATGATGGAAATAGATGAATAAAAATTAAATAAGTAATTTAACGCTAAGGGGACCTACGCGATTTAGCCAGTTGAGCAATAAAGTAATAGGGAAACGTTCCAAAATTTTTGCCACAGGAAAGTGATTCGATATCTATGCTTCTACGCACAACTTTCAGATCAGATGAGACTTTGCCAACAGATTGCAACATATGCTGCCAATTTGGTTGAGTATCCTGGCCCAGGTTCAATATTAGAGGCTCGTTTAAAGAACGAAGAAGACGCACTGATGGAGTAAATAAACAGAAACATTAAAAGATATGTAAGCAATAAAAAGGGGAATCTAAGGATGAAGAATAAGGAAAATTACCTTTCTGGGCACTAAGTTGAAAAAAATCAACTAAGTCCCCTTTCCGAGGAGCTCGATCTATTGGAGTTTTTGCGGAAAAATCGGATTCAATGACAAACTTCTTATTAGAAGAAGGAGAATTGAAAGTCAAACCTTGAGAAAAGAAAACAAAAAACGAGAAATGAGCCTGGAGATACAAATTATATAGATGAACAAATGAAAAAACAATAAGGGATATAGTACCATCTTTCCATGCAGATTGTAGAGACTCATCTTGTACGCAGGTCTGTTTGACGACATCGGGTGATCTCTTAAAATAATTACAATCGTCAGCTATATCTTCTTGCGCTGAGACCATTAGAATTCGTTTCCGAGTGACTGAACAGTCTGGTATCAT